AAATGCATGCGACTCACACGATAGATGTGAAGAACATTATATTCGATACTGCACTAGAGCAGGGAAAATTAACGTGAAAACTTTCATCAAGATCCATCACTGAGAATCCTATGATAGAAGTGGACACCGTGAAAAATTTCTGAGAAAACAAAACATTTTGTTCCTAAAGACACAGTGTTATTTGTGAAAATTTAAATTTTAATAATGATAAAAATTAGGACTAATAATTTAAAGTGTTTTTATTTTATAATTATAATTTTACATTTGACTTCAGTAGAAAGAAAACTAAAGAGAATAAAATTTAAGTATAATATGCTAAAGTACTTACATTTTTAGCTTTTAAAGCCATAAGATTCTTGGAGGATTAGAGAAAATGGAGACTGGAAGAAGGAGATCTGTAACAAAACATTAAACATTAAAATTTATATTTAAAAATCTTAAATTGGAGATAAATGAAAAATTCTTACATTGTTGGCTTTAGAGCACACTGTTGAATTTTCCTCAAAATACAAAAAAATTAATGTTGGTGTGAAGCGTCTGTAACAAAACGTCAAACATTATACTTTGTTATTAAATTTGAAAAATTAAGTAAATTCAAGTACAACATATGAAATATTATACTTAGAGAGAGCAGAGCAGAAAATATATATCCATTTGAAAGTATATACCATTAAGCTACTACGATCTCCATATTTGAAATAAAATATTAATTGATTTAATCTTTTTCATTTTTATTCTTGTATCTCATACAATTGAGAAATTATGTATTTCAAATATATATAAATTTTATAGTAAATGTTACCTAGAATGAATAAAATGTTATTAACTTTCCGCGAAAATTCATCAGATTGTTCATCAACGATCATGGCGTCTACGTATTCTATGCTATCTTTGCAGCCAAGGAATAACCTGCACAAAAGAAAACCAAAAATTAGAATAAATGTCAAACGAAGCAAATAAAAAACGATAATCGACTTCAAATTCTATTAAAAAAACGTACGAATGAAATCAACGATTGAAGAAAAATAGGCGCGAAAAATTTCAAAGCACTACATGATTTCGTTATCGTAATACTTGTAAGAATTACGTAATATCAAGTTAGAGGATTAACACACAAGTAGGAAATATTATAATAGAGAGGTGTGTGTGTGTGTGTGT